GTCTTAACATCCCATAAACGGATTGATTTATCACGACTACCTGAAGCTATAGTATTTCCATCTGGTGAGTAACATACTGATTAGACATAATTATTATGACCATCTAATTAAGCTTTTTATTACCCAGTCTTAGTATCCCATAAACGAATTGATTTATCATGACTACCTGAAGCTATAGTTGTTCCATCTGGTGAGTAACATAGTGATTAGACATAATTAGTATGACCATCTAATTAAGCTTTTTATTACCCAGTCTTAACATCCCATAAACGGATTGAATTATCTACACTACCCGATGCTAAAGTAGTTCCATCTGGTGAGAAACAGACTGATTTTATATTGCTACTATGACCGTCTAATTTAGTTTTTTATTATCCTGTTTTAGCATCCCATAAACAAACTGAGTTATCTTAATTACCAGATGCTAAAGTAGCTCCATCTGGGGAGAAGCATAAAGATTAGACATAACTCGCAGGACCATCTAATTTTGCTTTTTATTATAGCGTCTTAACATCCCACAAACGTATTGACTTATCATGACTACCTGAAGCTAAAATAGTACCATTTGATGAAAAACTGACTGATGTGACACTACTACTATGACCATCAAATCTAGCTTTTTAGCATTCTGTCTTTATATCCCATAAATTGATTGAGTTATCGACACTACCTGATGCTAAAGTAGTTCCATCTGGTGAGAAACATACTGAATAGACTTAACCAATATGACCTTCTAATTTGGCTTATTATTATCCTGTCTTAATATCCCATAAACTGATTGAGTTATCACCATTACTAGATGCTAAAGTAGTTCCATCTGGTGAGAAACATACTGAATAAACTTAACCAATATGACATTTTAATTTGGCTTATTATTATCCTGTCTTAATATCCCATACACTGATTGAGTTATCACTATTACCAGATGCTAAAGTAGTTCCATCTGGTGAGAAACAAACTGAATAGACAGTATTAGTATGACCATCTAATTTTGTTTTTTATTATCCTGTCTTAATATCCCATAACCGAATTGAGTTATCTCCACTACCAGATGCTAAAGAAGTTCCATCTGGTGAGAAGCATACTGAATAGACAGTATTAGTATGACCATCTAATTTTGTTTTTTATTATCCTGTCTTAATATCCCATAACCGAATTGAGTTATCTCCACTACCAGATGCTAAAGAAGTTCCATCTGGTGAGAAGCATACTGAATAGACTTAATTAGTATGACCATTTAATTAAGCTTTTTATTACCCAGTCTTAATATCCCATAAACGGATTGACTCATCAACACTACCAGATGCTAAAGTAGTTTCATCAGGTGAGAAGCATACTGACCTGACCATATTAGTATGACCATCCAATTTGTTCAACTCATTTATTTTAATGCTTTTCCACTTACAATTCAACATTAGAGCCCCATTTAAATTTACTCCACTTATGTCTACATTTTCAAATTCAGATCCGCTAAAGTTACATCTTACAAAATTTGCACTAATTAATGATGTATTCTTGATCCTTACGTCTTCAAAGCTTTATCTTGTCAGATCTATTTTCATTTTTATTAATAAGTGTAATCCGTTTGACCCACATTATATAAATTTATCATCAATACTTGTGAGTAGGACTAAAAATTTTAAGAAAGCTATGATCTTCTTATTTCCATCTATATTTTTTAGTAGATTCTCTTTAGCTTCTTCATAATTTCTAGTAGAATAGTCTTTTTAATTGAATTCATGCTCTTGAATATTTTTAAGAATATTAGGAATAAATTTAGTGTGATTCATTCCAAAATTATAGTTCTAAGTCAAGTTAATTAAATTCCCCTAACTGAGCTGAGTTTCCTAATTTGATAGAAATGCTAGAGAATCAGATATCTTTTGTTTTTTTAACTTATCAATAATCTCATCGAATACTGATTCATCAATTTCTTTCACATAATCTAAGATGTCTGACAGATTTTCTTTATGTTCATAAATTGGTAAAATCTGCTTAATCTTTCTTATAATTTGATTGGACTTTTATACAAAGGACTTAATTCCTTGTTCCCATCTATTCTTAATCTTTTCTAACATCATAAAATAAGAATTGTTCTAATTATTCCAATCAATTAATATTTTTCCTTCTACAATAGAGACTAATTTCTCTAAGTCAGTATAGGCGAGTTCAGCTGGATTTTCTTTCATAATATTGGTGAATGATTAGTTTTCTTTTTCAATCCAATCATAAAGTCTTTAGATCGATAAAGCTAAATCTTCCCATATTTTTTTTAACATATTATAAGATTGAGAAAGCATAGATTTAAAATCCATTCTCTATTTGTTTATTCCAGATATCTCATCTAGCTTATATTCTTCTAATTTTTTAATAGCATTTTCTTAAAGTTTTTTAATAGGAACTGTTTGTTTGATATCAACTTCATGGTCATAAAGACAATCGATACAAAGTTTCCTTTAAAACTAGCAGTTGTGAGAAGCTATACATATAGCAGATATTGGATTTTTAATATGAAAAGTACAATACATATTAAAATTATTGAATTTCTATTACTTTTGAATAAATTTAAGATTATTATTATTATGAATATATTAAGGTTTAGATAAAAAAAAATGTTGCGAAAATTAAGATTTAATTATAATTCAGGTTAAATCAACAAATTTTAAATCTTACAAACTATATTATATAAAAAATCTTTAAGAACAATCTATTTTTAGATCCTGATCAAAATTTCTAGCTTAATATAATATAACTTAACCTATAAATGATAGAGAAATTCAAATATTTTAATCATTACAAAATGTGTCACAAAAATTAAAACAACCAATAGTTATTTTAAGATATTTTGTACAACTAACACAAACAGCATAACTAAGATTAATAATAGTAGTTTTTAATAGTAGGTGTAGCAGGAAAAGAATTTTTTCAGCTTCTTAATTGATGCAGATGTTAGAATTGCTTAGAATAAAGAATTAAAAATTAAGAATCCTTCAGATATTGTAAATATTATTATAATTAAATAAATAATCATTATATAATTGATTTTCGTGGATTCGTAGGCACAAATGAGGATTAATTATTGGATCTTTCCTTTTATAAAATGTTACTTCAGGTCTCTTAAAAGTTATTTATTTACTACACAACCCTTATGATAAACTTCAGAATAGAGGATCAGATTTTAAGCATTTCTAATTCGATTTTGTAATGCATTACTATGTAATACAATGTTATTTTATAATATTATAAAATTGAGCAAGTCTTAGAGATTTCGAGGTTATGAGAATTAGGTTAGATGATAAAAATTAATGTGGCGAAAAGTAATCAATATTCTATAATTATTTTTAGATACATGTATTAATTCAATAGGTAGTCTAAAAGTAATTATATGTTGCAAATTTAGTTAACTCTAGTTATTATTGATGCATGATGATAGAAACTATTGAATTAAAAAAAGATTTTCTTACTTTTTCATCAACAAATTTTGGAGCTGAACCTGAAACAAAAAAGAAAAAATTGAATAATGATGACAAGTAAGACTTGATGCATATATTTAGATTCTTATTATACGGTTGATGGATTATTAAACAATAGTTAAAATGCTATGAAATTCATTGAGGAAGATTATTTAAAAAATAATCAATAATCTTTATTCATAATATAAAATATTTATGATAGTTTTTGGACCTAATTATAGAATAAACAGTGAATTTTCAGTTTGATACATATATACCTCATTATTAGAAAACGTTTAAAGGCATTAGAGCTACAGCATATTAGTTACTTAGCATTTAAGATGAATTGATAAAAAATATTAAATTAGAGCTAAAAAAAATAAGATTTGCTTGTAAGTTTCATTTTTAAGCAACTCTGAAAATTTATTTACTGGATTAAAAATTATATAATTTGGAATCTAATAATCAAAACAAAAGCTTAAAGTAGGATTAAATATAATCTTTTAAGCGACAATATTTTGGAGATAAGAGGATTACGCAAGATTATTACAAATGTTTAGAGATTAAAATAAAAATTTGTGGAAGGAATAATTTAGAGTTATTATAAGAAATTTTATATTTCTTTGGAAGAGAAAAGCAAATTCTTGATAGTAATTAGAAAATCTTATCAATTAATCTAGGAATTTCTCTAACGTGTTCTTTTGTGAGGGTAGAGGATGTTTCATGTTTAATTTGGATATGATTCGAAATCAGTTTCTATTTTACATCTCTTTATTCTACCTCTTGAAGAAGACAGCTATTTCTTTCACCATTTATCTTATTTTGCTCGATACATGTTTTCATTCATTTTTACTCCACATTTACTTCTGAATATGGATTCTGATGTAAATTTTCCAATTTCATTCTCCTTCATTCATGTGCACTTATTAAATTATTGTTTCAACCAATTAAAAAAATTTGCCTCTCTCTTAATGAGATTTAGGATTTTTTTATTCATTTCCTTTTCTCTGACTTATTATTCAGATCTCTATCTAATATCAATTTATGCATTTGCATACGGTCCAATATTATTCTTTATTCAGATTTATTGTTATCACAAACATAGAATATCTTTCCCCTAAAAATATTTATAGTTGAATTCGTGATATCTAAATCTTCTCTTCTTTTGATTTGAAGTTCTTAATCATAGCTATTGGCAATAGCTTGTTATTCCTTTCATCTTATATATTAACTTCCTCTAGAAGTAATATATCTGCATTTAATTTTAGAAAATTCTATGTATTTTCAAATGGTTTAATTTTCTGGAAATTCTGTTACATATAAATTTACAATAAAATCAAGACTATTTTAGTTTGATTCTATTTATATATTTAGTTTAACACTATTTTGATTGAATTCTCAAACATAACATTTCTTTTAACATAAAGACGTTTTCTAGTTGTTAAAGCCTATAATTTAATATTATTGATCACTTATCAAATGTTCCATTTCCTTTCTTTTATATGTTCATCTCTGATAATCTTCTTGTCTACTGTCCGTTTGTGACCTTCAAATACACTCTCCATTTTCATTTTAGTGGAACATTTACTTCTAAACCCAGTAACCATTCAAAATTCTGGCTTTCACTTAAAGTATATACTACATCCTTCAATATGATCCAATATATTATTGTAACTAACTTTAGCATA